CTTCCCCATCTGCCCCCATTCAAAGACGGCTGCGGATTCTCTGTGTGACCACAAATTTACACATTTCTTCTCAAATGATTGTGCGCTCATTTTTCACTCTAGTAAAACAAAAGATACATCTCTGTAATGTCCAAGGTCTTGGCTTTCTGAAAATGTGCTCGGCTTTTCTCTCCGACACACGGTTTTGAAGAAAATCATGGTTGTTTGAGGTCTTCTCCTTCTGCTTCCTTCCACTGATTTGAGAGTTAAACTAAGTCTCTGTCTCAGCTGTGTGCTTCGTTGCCCAGCAACGCTCTGACCCTGCTCTCAACTCCCCCTCCCCTCTCTGCTCTCTCCACACAGATGAGGCTTAGGTTGTTCAAAGTGTTTAGTAGGTTTGGTAATTATTATAAAATCATCATTTAAATCCCGGCACACTCCCGTGCCACTCTCAAATTTTCTGCAAGGAAATTTTATAGTTACTCCTGCTGTTACAAACAGCAGCAGGGATGAATGAATGAATGTAATATGATTATTGATCAGTCGTCCACTATCGATCAATCACTGCTCTGATAATCGATCAGTCAGTTGAGCACTTCCTGGTTCTGTCTGTTGATCAACTCTGACCCGCCTTCTTCACCAGTTTCTGACTTGATTTCAGGAACAAACAGCTGATCGATCGATCCAGAGGACAATCAATAGCTGCCGTTCTAACCGGCTCATTGATTTCTGCAGTTTCTGGGTCACTGAGTTCTGTGTCAGATTCTGTTCCGCTGTCCGGCTGCAGAACCACAAACTCTCTGAGTTTAGATGAAGACGATCAGATGATCAGGTGATCAATAACCTCCATCTGAACATAGTAAGGTTACAGGAGCTCCTTATCACGGCTTTCTGTTTTTGTGGTTCCTAACAACTCTGGTTCTGTCTCCAGAACACAGAACCCTCCAAGTCAAGACTGTAGACGATCAAGTCCGAGATGTGAAACAGAACAAACTCTGCGTGGGTCCCCTCAGCGGTTCCCCGTCAGCTGTTCTCCTCAGCTGCTCTCCTCAGCAGTTCTCCTCGCTGGTTCCCCTTGTCGGTTCTCCTCAGCGGTTCTCCTCAGCAGTTCTCCTCAGCGGTTCCCCTCAGCAGTTCCCCTTGTCAGTTCTCCTCAGCGGTTCCCTGATCCTGATCTGCTGCGTTTCTACGTCACAAACTTTCTGATGTTCAGTTTGTTTTCACTCAACTTCACTGAGAACAGCTACGGAGCCGCCAGCACCCTTAGAGTGTTGTTGTTGTTCTTGTTATTATTGTTGTTGTTGTTACTGTTACTATTGTTGTCATTGTTGTTGCTATTGTTGCTGTTTTTATTATTGTTGTTGCTGTTATTATTATTGTTGTTATGCTGTTGTTGTTATTGTTGTTTTTATTGTTGATGTTATTGCTGTTATTATTATTGTTTTTATTGCTGTTGTTATTATGGTGGTTGTTGTTATTGCTGCTGTTGTTCTTGCTGTTGTTATTATAATTGTTGTTGTTTTTATTGCTGTTGTTGTTATGATTGTTGTTGTTATTGCTGTTATTGCTATTATTGTTGTTTTTATTGTTGTTGTTGTTGCTGGTGTTATTATGATTCTTGTTGTTGTTATTGCTGTTGTTGTTTTTATTGTTGTTATTGCTGTTGCTATTATGATTGTTGTTATGATTGTTGTTGTTGTTGTTGTGATTGTTGTTACCAGGACCACATGCAGCCTGGTTTATGAGCTCTGTTCCATCAAAACTCAACGCAGCTCTGTTGCTGAAACAAACCAACCATGAGACACAAACTGAATCAAAACCAGATGAAATGTCCAACAAGCTGAACGAGACCAAAGCAGAACCTGTGGAGGCTTAAACCGACTGTTCACCAGAACCAGTCGGGTCCAGAGGACCCAGTCTGCCTCTGTGTGTGAACGCAGCAGCTGAGAACCAACAAACCAGCAGAAGCTTCAATGCAGCAGAGAGCTGCAGGACTGAAACCGGTCCCACCGGTCCCACTGGTCCCACCGGACCCACCGGTAAGAAGAGGAGGACTCACCCCTGTCGGTCTCCGTCCACCAGGATTCGGACCAGGATGCCGGTGACGGCGACCAGGATGGGATAGTGATCGACGCTCTCCAGACCTGCAGAAACACAGAAACAAGTCCAGAATCTGATCCAGGTTTAAAAGTAACACAGTCGGATCCTGCTGTCATGTGATCCAGAACCCTGATGAGATAGAACCAGCTCCAGAACCAGAACTTTTCTGGACTCACTGATAAAAAGCAGCAGGGACCATAAGACTGGTTCTTACTGATTATTATGGGATGCTTTTATCCTCCCAGCTGGACTTCACAGCGAGTCCTCAGTGGTTTGGGTTCTGGGTTCTGAAGTAGCAGAACATCAGTAACTCAGCAACATTCACTTACGGAGCAAACATCACAATGTTCTGGTTTTAGCTGCAGAACAGAAACATTTGTTGGGTTCTGTTCATGTCCGACTGATAGCAACACCTTCAGACACATTCATACAGTTCCTCATCAACCAGCGGACCGGTTCTCTGCAGCAGCTTCAGCTGGTTCCACACGGTCTAACGGACCTTCTCCTCTCATTTCAGGAGGGAGAACTCATTGATCCCGTCCTACAGAGATCCAGAAGGTGAGTCAGCCCAACAGGTGCGCTGTCACACCTGAACACACCTGCTGACCTTCCTGACGCTGCAGCAGCCAATGAGAACACACGCTGAACGTCTGACTCTGTTTAAATGCTGACAAAAGCATGCTGAAGTTCTGGTTTGGTGGTTCTGGATGTAACAGCTGTAGAACTTCCTGTTTCAACACCAAACCAGATCTAGTGGTTCTGATGCATTTCAGTCTTCAGAACCATCTTTCATGTTCTGCGATGAACTCAGTTTGGAACACTGGAACATGTGGGAGGATTTCAGACCTGCTGAAGCTCTGCCTGCTGGTTCTGCTGGGATCTACCTGCTCAGGTGTTCATGGTTCACCTCCTCCCTCCCTGCCTCCCTGGACCCCCTACAGTTCACATACTGGCCAAACAGATCCACAAACAACGCCATAAATCACCTGCTCCACACAGCCCTGGCCCACCTGGACACTAGGAGGGAATTATGTGGACTTCAGTTCAGTGTTCAGCACCAGAACTCCCTCCAGACTGGTCACTAAACTGCAGGTGTGCAGGTGGGTCTAAAGCTGTTTGACCAGCAGACCACAGGTGGTCCGAGTGGGGAACCACCCTGACCATCGGCGTCCCCCAGGGCTGTGTGCTGAGCCCTCTGCTGGACTCACTGTACACCAATATCATCACTGACCATGCTGTGCAATATGTTTCTAAATTCATACTGTATATATAACTTATCTTATTTTATATTGAAATCTCTTCTATTTTATTTTTTGCTCTTAATTTTGTTCTATATTCTATGTTGCACTGAAGGAGCTGCTCTTAATCTCATTGCACATGTGTATAGTGACAATAAAGGCATTCTATTCTATTCTATTCTATTCTATTCTATTCTATTCAATGCCTGCCTGTCCACATCACACTCTAACACCATCATTAAGTTTGCTGACGACACAGCAGTGGTGGGTCTGATCTCAAACAACAATGAGGAGGACTATCTAATGGAGATCACCCACCTGGAGGACTGATGCAGAGACAACAGCCTCCTCCTGAACGTCAGCAAGACCAAGGAGCTGATTGTGGACTACAGCAAGAAGCAGCAGAGGGCACACCACCCACTCAGGATCAGACAGAGGTGGAGCGAGTGGAGAGCTTCCAGAACCTGGGTGTTAACATCACCAGGACCTGACGTGGTCCTGTCACATCAACACCCTGGTGAAGAAGCTCCACAGTGTGGCCTGAGGGACTTTAAGTTCCCTCTCAAGGTGCTCAGGAGCTTCTACACTTGCACTAGAGAGTGTTCTGGCTGGAAGCATCAGAACCTGGATGGGCAGCAGAACCCAGCAGGACTTCTGGGCCCTGAGGAGGTGGTCCACTCCGCTGTGTGTGTCTGTGTGTAGCTGTGTGTAGTTGTGTGTGTGTGGTTGTGCGTATTTGTGTGTAGCTGTGTGTGTGTAGTTATGTGTAGATGTGTGTCGCTGTGTATTTGTGTGTAGCTGTGTGTGTGTAGTTGTGTGTGTGTAGTTGTGTGTAGTTGTGTGTGTGTAGTTGTGTGTAGTTGTGTTACCTGGCAGTCGGAGGTTGACGACTCGGTCAAACAGGTTCTTCTCGGCCGTGACTCGGTTCAGCACCTGGTTCAGCAGCTGCAGACCAGCAGAATGAATGATGGTCATGTTAGTGATGAATCAGAACCACCGCTGATTCAGAACCAACGCTGATTCAGAACCAACGCTGAATCAGAACCACCGCTGAATCAGTGACACGTGTTGGTGCTGCAGGTCTGAACTGAAACACCGGTTCAGAACCCGTCACTCGGATCTCAGTTGTCTGTAATAAATGTTTCATCTTGTGTTGTGCTTCCTGCCACAGGGTTCGCTACCCTAACCCTAACCCTAACCCTCACCTGAGCAAGTCGTCGCAGCAGCAGCTCCGCAGAGGGCCGGGACCAGTCCAGAAAGATCTCTGGTACCAGAGTGACGGTCATCTCCAGCACCCGCAGCAGGCTGACGGACAGGTCAAAGCAGGTCGCACACACCTGGAGGAAGAGGAGCAACACGGAGGCACCGAGGCTCAGAGCTGATCTGAGAGCAGCTGCTTCACCGGACAGGGAACACTTCAGGAAACTGACCAGAGATGTGAAACGACTGAAACAAGTCACAAAACGACCAAAATGACACGAAACGAGACGTAACATGGCCAAACAGATGCACTTCCTGTTGGAGGCGGAGTCAGCTTTAAATGCACACACAGGTGTATGAAGGTAAGCAGCAGGGCACACCTGTGTGGTATCACCGTCAGCATACATAATAGGTCAGAGGGTGTGTTTCTACCTTCAGCTGACGAGTGTCCACGAAGTTCCTCTCTGGACGTTCTGCTGCCTGCTGGATCTGACAGAACCAAAAGCATCAGACAAACATCTCATTGTTTGTTTAACAGCAGGACAAGGCGGCTTTATCTGACCAATCAAACGTTACAGACTGAAGGTCCACGTAAACCAGAGTCTGCAGCCACAGCAGCAGCTCTGAGCTCAATGCTAACACAGTCAATGCTAACATGCTAACATTGAACAGCCAAAAACCATCCAAAACCAGTCAAAACCCATTCAGCTGGTTCATTCACTCAGCTCTATAAATGACTGACGAACTCGCCCTGCGGCCGTCTCACCTCCTGGATCATGCCGATGAACTCGGAGAAGGCCCAGTTGAGCTGGTTCAGGACGCTGTTGAGGAAGGAGGCGGCCATGTCTTTGTCCAGACTCAGCAGCTCGGCCATGTGCCTCTGCAGCAGCAGTGACGGACAGGGCTCTGGACCAATCAGAAGACAGAACAGGTCAGCAGCTGACAGCTAGACTCAGGAGTCCAGACTTTTAGCAAAACCTGGTGATACCTGGACAAAAAGGAATGTTCTGTGTGAGGTGGTGCAGCAGAGAAGCCTGCTCAGAACTGCTCAGGACAGGTTTGTGGAAACATGATGGAAGGAAACTGCATGACATTAGAAAAAGTCCTCTCAATGACTGCAGTGAGAACATGGGCCTGGATGACCTGTAACTTCCCTCATTTATTGAATTTGGTCCTGAACACCTCAGAAACACACTATGGAACCAGATAGCTGCTCTAGATGGCATCGCCTTGGCCTCCAGTTCTCCTGTACAGAACCTTGGAGGTATTTCTGACCAGGACATGTCGTTCAATAGACATATAGAACCAGTCTGTAGGACGATCTTCTGTCATCTACGTAATACTGTAAACATCAGGACCATCCTGTCTGAGAGTGATGCTGAGAAACCAGTCCATCATTTAGAACTTCTAGACTGGACTATTGTAGTTCCTTATTATCAGGATGTCCCAGTAACTCTCTCAGAACCCTCCAGCTGATCCAACATGCTGCAGCAGGGTTCTGACAGAACCAGTACCAGATCATATGTCTCCTGTATCAGCTTCTCTTCAGTGGCTTCCTGTAAAATCCAGGATCGAATCTAAATCCTGCTTCTAACATATAAACTCTCCATGAGCAGCTCCATGTGACTTTACAGACCTTATGGTACCGTATCATCCTAACAGAACCCTTCGCTCTCAGACTGCAGGTCTACTGGTGGGTCCAGAGTCTCCAGAACCAGAATGGGAGGTGGAGCCTTCAGCTATCAGCTCCTCTGTTGTGGATCAGCTCCCAGTCTGGGTTCTGGAGGCAGACACCCTCTGTGCTTTAAGGTCAGGATGAAAACGTTCCTCTGTGATGAAGCTGATAGTTAGAGCTGCTCAGGATCACCTGAACTGTCCCTCAGTGATGCTGCTGTAGCTTCAGACTGCCGGGGGACTCCCATGATGCACTGGGCTCCTCTCCTCTGGATCTGGAGCTTCACGTCTCTGATCTACAGTTTCTGTTCTCACCGACTTCCAGAATATTCATTGTTCTGTTCTGCTGCTGCTCTCCATCTGCTGTCCTGCTATCACTCCCCATCCTCACTCTGACCCAACTGGTCCAGGCAGATGGCCTCCTTCCCTGACCTGGTTCTGTGGGGGGTTATTTTTCCCCATTAAAGGTTTTTTTGGCTCCTTCCCACCGTCGCTGACTGCTGCTCAGAGGGAATCCAAAGGGTAACTTTGGATTGCTGGGTTCCCTGTTCTTTAAATTCGTAAGATCTTCACCTCACTGTTGTAATGCAGAGGTTTACCATCAGGAGAGCAGCACTTACTCTAGTTTGATGTGCATCACTGGTGGTTTGTTGTAAAAGTACTTGTGATGTTTACTTCACGTTGTATCAAAGCTATTTTTATTTTATTTGATTTTCTGTCTTTTCTTTTTAATTATCTGGACAAGTGAAGGTTTTGTTGTACAAAATCAAACCAAAGTCAGAACAACTGAAAGAAAGTGTGAAGAAAAACAAGGAAAACAAGAGCGTAAAGGTCTGATAGGGTCAGACAGGACAGGATGAAGGAGGCAGCAATGGAGCGAAGAGCGAGTGAACACACTGCAGTCAGACTGTCTCCATGGTCACTGCTGCAACCTGCCGTCAGTCCACAGGTGGAGGTTCACATTAGTACAGACACATCAGAGATGTTCTGATCCAGTCTCATGGATCAGGATCAGAACTGATCAAAGCCCAATTCATTGTTTCTGTTGTAAAGGGAAAGCATGGCGAGACATATGCAAAGAACAGAACTGAGAATAATGTTCTTCATGAAAGCAGCAGGATGAGTTATTACCCGGTTCATTGATTATTAATTGAACACTAACTGATCGCGGTGGACATTTGTTCTGTGCTGATGTTGCACTTAATCACAGACTCCTGGTTTGCTCCTCAGTCAGTTCTGTTCCTGGGTTAGGTTTAGCGGTACCCTCTCATCCCAGGTTGTCTTAAACTCCTGAGCTCTGGTTGGAGGTCCTGAACCTCCTCAGAGTCTCTGTCATGGTCCCGTTGCTGCTAAACTCCCACAATGCTCTCTGTTGCCATCATGAGCTGTAGTCTGTAGACGCCTCCTCTGGTGTCTACAGGACTGAACATAAACGTGTAGAAACAAAGAATCCTCAGACTCCAGATCTGAGCTTACAGTCATGATATTTTATAAAGGGTACTTTATTCTACACGTCTTATTTCAAAAGTCTCCAAATATAAAACTGTGACCAGCAGTGAAAAAATAGTTTTCAGGTGAACTGCAGGCAGCGTTTCCACAGAGCAGAGAGGAGACGAGGACGGAAAGTCACTGAAAAATAACCAGTTACCATCTCCAGAGTTCATGGAGATCACATTGTTCCAGTGCTGGCAACACCTGTGGACACTTGTAAACATGTTGGACATGTTGATTCCAGGTTTGTACATTTTTAGACTGTTTTATATGGTTGGTCTGTTTCCATAGACGTGCAGGACTTTATATTGCAGTGAGAAATAAGACAACAGTGAGGAAAAATGAGACTGGAGTTCTGAGCTCCAACCTGAGAACAAGCAGAGAGGAGAAGATCTGAAATACAGATCAGTGATTGACTTGTTGAAACAACTGAATTCCTACTGAGATCATTTGCTGGTCCTGAGGAGATGTCAGACGGTTGGACTGAATGTCCTCCACAGTGAAGATGAAGCAAAGAGTGACAGCAAAGCAGAAAGTGGGAAAGGTGAAATGAAAAACTTACTTTGGAAACTAGCAATGGACAGATCTCCTGAAAGGCATGCAAATGAAAGCACATAGGTGAGTCATCATGCAGGACAGAAAAACACTCAGTGGGACACAAACAGGCTGATAAAATGGTTCCACTGAGGGAACGCTTTGGATGAGCTTCTCGGCATCGACCAACACTGTTTCTTCAGGAAGTGTTGACAGGTGTCAGGTTGGGATCATTCTTGAATGTCAGCTGTTGTCGGCCATGTTTCCCGCTGTCACAAACGACTGATCAGTCAAGTCCCAAGTAATTTAGGACAAATTTAAAGTTATTTTAGGAAATTTTTTTATCAATGTGGACAAATTTAAAAGCCTGAAAGTGTGCTGTAAATTACTGGTGCTCATATATGATGGTAGCGGCCAGACAGAGGATCGAACAGTTGTTTGAACTCAGATCTGTTCAAACAATAAGACACTCAGCGCTGCAGCAAGCTGGAAATATCTAGGGTTAGGTTGCAGTGGAACACTTCAAGTCCAAATGAGATCTGTGATCCCTGCAGAGTTCCAGGTCTCCTCCCAGCTGAAAACTTCCAAAGGAAGAAGGAATCTAACCAGATGTTGAACCACCTATGCTGGATTCTTTAAAACACAAGCAACTCTACTCCGAGGTCCTCGCCCTCGATAAGGCTAAGTTCAGAAACCCAACAAAGGGAACTAATTTCAGCTGTATGTATCTCATTCTTTGGGTCACTAACCAGAGTGCATGACCACAGGTGAGGGCTGGAACAAAGACAGACTGGTGAAGTCCAACAGGTAGCAGAGTCCAACACAGACCGGAGCGCACA